TGTGTGTGTGTGTGTGTGTGTGTGTGTGTGTGTGTGTGTGTGTGTGTTGGGTGGGGGATGGGGAGTTGCAATTGCACACCGCTGTCTGCACAAGTTTGTCCTGCCAACATTACAGCTTCCAAGAAATTTTCACCAGTTTTCTTCTGCAGAAATGTACATTTGTTATACACACAGCGCACTGCCACAATGAATCACCCTTAAATACCAGCCCAGGGACAGTTACTTTGAAGGTTTGTTATTCTGCAGCTGAATGACTGTGGAACAATCCAGAAAGGCAGCGGCCTGCCAAGCTAGCTGTGGACTTAGAAACAGCTTTTATGATGTCCTGTCTTCAAACCTACTGAAACATGTGAAGTTAAGCACAAAGTCACGCCTGTGCCAGAAAAGCAAATACATCAGCTTCTGTCTGGTGACCAAATATCTAACCAGAATCATGGTGCAGCCTCCAATGGATGTGTTTACATTTGATCATGTGCTTATTTCAGAAAACTCCAAATAAATCTAAATGTATGCACCAAAGACAAAATACCTGAAGATAAAAAGAAGAATTTAAAGGAATCACTAAAAGCTCCACACTGTAACTGCATATCTAAATGCATGTGTCACAGACAGCTACCTGCATCTTGACTGTGCTGATCGTGGCTAATTCAGAGTTAATTCCATGTAACATGAGCTTCTAACAGATTTCTCAGATTTATACTTTGTCATTTGATGCCATGTGATGTCTACACCCAATCAGCCATTTCATTTGTTGTTATTGTGATAAAATATCGTAAAAACACTGAACAGTTGTTGACAGGCAGAGTCAGAGATAACTTACAGCGAGGCCTGACGATGGGTCGATGAAGTCTGCCCAGAATCCTTCTCGCTGCAGCGCACAGCAGATCTCCCGTGCACCTGCAACAAACTACACAGCAGACACCACAATCATTAATTACTTCATTAATTACTGTAAAATAAATAATAAAGTGTCTCCTCCCCTTTCTTAATGAAACTCACGCATTTATTATCCGTTTCATTTTCACACTACAGATGGGATGTACTACATGGATGTGCTACTACCGTTTTTAACATTAGTAACATCTCATATAATGCACAGTTTCTGTAGTTCTCCAGAGGTGGACAGCTTTTCTAATAAACTCTTCAGCTCATCATCAGTGTTTCTTTTACAGACCTCTAATATTTGCAGTGCTTAGCTGTTGTAAAAGGTTTCTAAAATAACACTTACATTTATTTATTCTGAGTACTTGCTGTGATAATGTAGGGAGAAACCCTGTGATGTCTTATTATAGTGTAAGATATGTAAAACAGCTCAGCTTAGCATTTAACCTTGTCAAGCATCTGCTCTCTCTCATCTTCCACCTCAGCAGACCATGACGCCATATCGTTCTGCGTCTTCTGGGTAACCGTGACAACCATCATACCACAGGATGGAGCTTCAGGAAACATTGACTGGAAATCTGTTTATAATTAGGAAACACTTGCATTAGACAGGAACACCGCTTCTCATGAGAAATACAAGCAATTTCAAAGTTATGCAAGGCTGAAAAATAAATGTATGAAGGATGCAGTTACAGCGATGTACCTTTCTTTAAGAGTTCAGGACACGCCTGTGTGGCACACTCTACTCTCAAGTTGTCAAAGTACTGTTCAGCTGTGCTGACTTTGCCAGAGGACGCAGGATTGCCCTTGTTCTAAGAAAGAAACACACAGCTGTCAGAAAAGCGAATGTCACCACTCTCAGCGTATGAGCAACAACGGCAACGATACAAAACCTGGATATAGTTTCAGCATACACTGTTTTAATGTCTCTTCATTCTAAAATATTCAGACCGATGCTGGAGGTCTGGCTACATGAATCATGTCACACCCACGATTGGCTAGCGTTACATTTTTTACACTTGTTAGCACCACTAAGTCCACACCACACTCCAATGAAAAGTTCATTTTTGACTGATTAAAAATGCATAAAAAAATTTCACACATCATTTTATCTTAAACATGTGTACGTGCTTGTGTTAGTCCGTGTGGGGAAATGACTCCTCTGCATTTAACCCATTCAGCCAGTGAAGCAGTGGGCAGCCACCGAGGAGCAGTGTGTAGGGACGTAGGGGTACCTCAGGGTAGCCTTCCAATCATGTGGCAACCACTCTACCTACTGAGCTATCCCTGCATATGATTATTCATTGATAATCTATACATACTTCAACATAAAATTCCTGACATTTATTTAATTGCACCAGTGTTTGTGAAATTTGTAGCAAGATTAACATTAGTAGTAATAACACAGCATAGTTTGGTCCATATTTGTTTTGATTATTAAAAACATTCATAAGGTTCTCATTGGACTTACAGAGAGCTCTCTAACAGACTGGGCTAGAAGCCACTCATGCTTCTGATAGCAGGATGGAGCAGACAACACATCTGGTAGCATTTTGTCTGTCAGGCTCCTCTGTTGCTCTGTCAATCCTTCCAGCTGGCAGTCAAAGCCCACATTACCGGGCAGCGGGAAGCGCTGGTCCTGGGGCCCGAACGGCACCATTGTGTCATCAGGCCGTAGTGTCTGCAGTCCTTAAGCACAACATAACAAAGAAAAGTAGCATGCACACAAACTGAGTTTACACAAAGAAATAAGAAATTACAAATTTTGGTCAACCCAATATCACTTCATCAGAGTCCGAGGTAACGACTCTGTGTCAACCTCCGTATATCTCAATTTATTTTGTGTTATTAGGTCTATACCTAATACCTCATCTATACATAAGATGCATTAGATTAAATTACTGACTAGAAAAACATGTTGTAGTTAATTAATGTTCAAATGTATAAACTTAAAATAAGGCCATACCTTTAGCAGAGGGAGAAGTGGCCAAAGCGGGCTTATTTAAGCCTGAAGAATCAGCAGCAGAGAAGGCTCTACCTCCAGCCACACGATGCACCAACACATGGAGCCCTGGAAGGTAACTTACCAACCTGCTTCTGCTGCAAAGCACCTGCACATGCAAACAAACAGTACAACTGTAAATGGCAGTCTCTCAGGTACTAATAATAACAATAATAATGCTGAACTCAGACACCTGAAACACCACCAAAGGTCTACATCACAGGTGTCAAACTCCAGGCCTCGAGGGCCGGTGTCCTGCAGGTTTTAAATGTGTCCTTGATCCAACACAGCTGATTCAAATGGCTAAATGACCTCCTCAATATCTCTTGAAGTTCTCCAGAGGCCTGGTAATGAACTGATCATTTGATTCAGGTGTGTTGACCCAGTGTGAGATCTAAAACCTGCAGGACACCGGCCCTCGAGGCCTGGAGTTCGACACCCCTGGTCTACATGGTCAAAGGTTTACACCAGGGGCCTCGAGCTCCGGTCCTCGAGGGCCGGTGTCCTGCAACTTTTGCATGTGTCCCTGACGCAACACACCTGAATACAATTAGTAGATCATTAGCAAGCAACCTGACTGCATGCTGAGGTGGCAATTCAGCCATTTCATTCATGTTACAGCAGTTCATGAGTGAATGAACATGGTGCAATAAATGTACTGTTAAAAGTGTATTTTCCTTACATTTACTTGAGTAGGGTTAGAGGTTGCCACTTCAGCAACTTCAGTTCTATACTCTTGCTAATGACCTACTAATTGCATTCAGGTGTGTTGCAACAGGGACACATGGAAAGGTTGCAGGACACCGGCCCTCGAGGACTGGAGTTTGAGACCCCTGGTTTACAGCTTCATCTTGTCATCTGTCAGTTTGGAAAGTGATACAAAGGTTTTGGGATTCTAACAAAGTTTTTCCAGGAGTGATCAATGACTCATCCAGGAACTGCAAGCTTCATCTGCCTCAGGTCAGAGTTTCAACAATGACAAAAAGAGACTCGGCTAAAATGACATGAGGGTCCCAAGGCAGAAATGTAACCTTTTGGAAGGTCTCATTACATATAGAGAACAGAAAAAAAAACATATCAACAGTCAAACGTGGTGGTAGTGTTAATTGATGGATACATGAATTTTGCTCTCAACCAGAAAATCCTACAATCCTGAAGTCCAGCCATACGTTTGTACCCTGTAGCTCAAGCACACTTGGGTTATGCAGCAGGACAGTGATGTGAAAAATTCCCATTTTAATAAATGAATAAAAAAAAACAAAAAAAAACTGAAGTGCTCAGACAAAGTTCAGACTTTAATCTGAAGATGCTGTGGCGTGATGTTAAACAGGCCATTCATACTGAAATACCCTCTAAAGTTGCCAAGTTAAAATAATTATCCAAAGTGTCTCTACAGGAATGTCAAACATTAATGGCCGTTTATTGCGAACAGTCCAACCAGTTAATAAGTTTATTCAAAAACAAACAGGTGGTCTGGCATCAAACTGAAGCTCCCTACATCACCTCGTTCTCTGGTTATCACATTCACATACTCGTCTATCCAGCAGGTTGAAAAAAAAAAAATACCCCAATTACATTTTGTATTTACTCGGGTTATCTTCGTATAATATTACAAATGTTTGTATCTAAAACATAAATGTGAGAACTATGCAATAAATTTAAAATAGAAAGAAATATTTCACGTTATTCAGTGTTTACAGTGGTGCTCTGTGATGGTGATCACTGCAGAGCATTAACATCAGAATAAGATGAGAATATTACAAACTGTTGTTTGACAAACTTACACTGGTCATCCTAGCGTGCTTCTGATTATCTGCAGTATCCAGTGAAGTCTCTGTAAGAGTCCAAGATTGTGTCATCAGGAAACATTTCCAAACACATTCATCACAGAAGAAACGCTGTACGACTACCACACCATCCTGACTGATCCGCTGCTCAGTCTGCTTCACTCCTCTTAAATCTCATCTATTCTTTTTGAATCAGAATTAAGGAAGTTATGTATGAATCATATAAGCCACTCTGAAGTCCAGCAATCCTAATCAAAGATGAGGCATGTTTGCATAGCTAAGTGGACTGCTGCCCCCACGACTTGGCCCTGGATGGATGGAAATCCACTGACTGGATTGGTATCAATGTACGTCAATAGCATAGCTCTGCCACTGATCTGCTCAAATAGCTGGATGTAAGCATCTTAAGAAGCAATCGTGGTTTGAGAAACACACTGTTGATAGCCTAGGATAGCCGATGGTTATGGTGAAAAACAACTTATGCCAGGTGATGTATGGGGAAACAAACATTAGCATTATTTTACAAATTAAAAAAGAAATCTGCAAGAGTTCAAGGCACCGGGATTTTGATTAGGAGAATAAAAGCTATTTTAGCTATTTATAGATAAAAGGTTGATCCCACTACAGCTACTTCACAAAGATGGTTTTATTCTTTGTGATGTTTCGTTATACTGAGCAGAAAGCTCCCGATGTTAAACGTGGGCGTGTTTCCTAAACCAGCAGCTGACGGAGCGAACAGGTGTGTGCAGGTGAACTCGACACATCGTCGAACTATTCAGGAGTGTGTCGAGGGCAAAATGTCAGCTCATGATTTGAAACACGGAGGTACGACATCAAGCGGAAGCTGTTTTATAAATTAAAATAATCTCATTGTTGTCAGCAGATAATATTGATAATATTGAAATCTGCATTTGCACCAGCTGGAGATGGAGAGAGTCCTTTAATCTTGTCAAACTCCGAGACAGATTTGCACACAGAGGCGACCAATCGGTAAATATGACGAATCTGCGGATAGAATGTGTAAACAAATCTAACCAGTTAAAGTAAAACCAGTTAACTACTGTAATCTTTCGGCTTTAGATACATCTGGGAACTTCTAGTGAGTGTAATAGCACGTTTCACACGGTTTATCCTCACAGCGGTATGACAACCGATACATTTTAGTAAGAAACGCTATCTGCTGATAAGCTAACAAGAGCAGAACATAACTTACAGGATTTTAACAAGTCCAAACCAGATGACTGCGTTAGTTTGTTTCTATTTATACTTCCACAAAATCGTAGAAAAACAGTCGACCTTTGAAAACATGAAGACACTGTCCAAATGAACGCGGGCAACTCACTCTAACAACATTTCTGGCTTTGACCTCGGGGAAAGGGGGGGGGCTTCTTCGTTTTAGTTTCAAATGAGCTTAGAGGTGCATTACCGCCCCCTCCTGGACAGGAGTGTGAATCAGGAACTTGGAATATTGGGAATAAATTAAAAAAAACAATCTGCAGTATTGAACCCTTTCTTATCACAACTTTCAACAGTTGGCCATAGATTTGAGACAGTGCCTTTCCAAGCAGGGTTTCTACAGTAGAATGAATCTTCAGCTCCTCCTATTAACGTCTTCCTGTCCAGGACACAAGCCCAGCATACTAACAGTACATGCTGAGCAGATTCCATTTTTTTGCAGTGGGCACACAATCCCATTGGGTGCTTGCCTATTAGCTGTAGTGTTTTATTAAGACCTGTATGACCTATCCTGAGATGGGTAATTGTTATTTCACTATTTTGTGACCATGACCGAAATGTATCTGAATGTTGCAGAAATCAATTCCTGTATCGCTGATATCCCAGTGCTTCTGCCAAATTCAAAGGATTTGAATCCTCAGTGCATGAATCATTTTCATCTGTGCATCTGCTTCCCCAGAAAGTGCATTAAAATCCCCACAACATATTATTTTTCCTACACCCATGTGTGGGGTGTAGGGAACACCTACACCCTACACCTACATATTAAACACCTATAGTGTTTAATATGTCCCCAGTGATCCTTTTACATAATTTATAGTAGTTGATAATTACTGCCTCATCTTCCTCCATCCAAACCTTAACTGTGATTGTCTTGTGCTCTATATTTACACTGACTAATCTATATCATATTCCAGTTCACACAAATGTGGCCACCACCTTCTTTTGTATCATTCCTCATAGCTGTATATTCATTTATAAACAAAGTACCACTCTGCTTTTATCCATGTTTCCATATTACACATGGTTTTCTTTGCAGATGAGATACTGTTTTAGTTCCTGCCCATTAGCAATAAGACTTCAAGCATCCCACTGCAGAATATTTAGGACCACAATGAACTGCCTCCTCCTGGCTGTGAGCTAGGATTTCTACCACTCAGCATTTCCTGAGCTGTCTCCCACACAGACCCGTGATTCCCAGGTGTTTGTCTGTAGTCTTCACAATTATTTGGATTTTTTCAGTTTTCTTGTCTGTTTGAGTGGTGCAGTTTATTACAGCCTCCATAAATAGCACAAAATCATTTTTGTTCATAACCAAAGCTTCTTTTCTGCTTCTGCATGCCATCAATGGATTTTACTCTGGATCTCTGCTGCCCTTTTACTTGCCTCATAACCACGAAAAGCTGAGATATGCTCACCTCCGCAATTGCACCACTTTAACTTTGCTCTTTTTCACATTTACCATACTCGTGTCCACCTCCAGTGACATGTGTAGCACTTACGTGGAGTTACATAAAGTACCGATGGATAATCACCAAGGTAATAAGTAATTTGGGCTAGTATCAGAAGACTGAGAACGACTCTTAGAGCTCTGGTACACGAATGGCAGAGAAACCAGACAAACACAGTTGTGTGGCTTTTAAAAATACTTTAGTGATGTTAAGCCTTGTAAAATAAATTTGTAAACAACACAGTATTACAACAGGTTTTAACAGAATGTCAAGTATAAAAATTTCCCCCAAAGTAGCAAAAAAA